GCCAAACACCTGAGACGGACATCCACACCAATTTTCTCTGCAGTTCTCGTCAAAGGAAGAAAACCCCGCCTCAAGATGTCATGAAGCTGAAGCGTTTAAGGCACGGTAAGCTTGGGCAGATCTTTCGGCTGACATTTCAGGCCGTGCATCTGGGGCTTTGGGATTTTGCGAGTGTGATTGAAGCTCTTCCCCGCATGCCTCGTTGTTCGAACTGCTGCAAAGTGACTGTTTGTATTACCACTAGAACTTTGTGCATTCCAGCTGCTCGTGCTATCAGTAAGATCATTCTTGCTCTTTGTATAAGTCTTACCAGTACTGCTACCAGTACGTACCATTGGGCCGTCCTCTTTCAGAGCACAGATGCCGTAGCGATCCCAGGTCGTTGCCTGCAACATGTAGGGATTCTTTCAGGTTCCGCTACCTCAACCCTACACCGCAACCAGTATCACTAGCCCTAAACCGCACAAAGTGGCAAACACTTGCTCACTGCGCATAGCTGCAGCACCGTGCATTCCAGAATACTCGGGACCGCCTCCTGCAGCATGGCAGCCTGCGATCTGCATGATGCCAAAGACATGCACCCAAAGGCCCACCCCCAACCACTCGAAGACTGCGTGCAGGTGTTCTCGCAACGCTATACGCATCTGGCAGTATCTGGAGCTGACGTGGAATGTGAGCTTCTGGCCATCTGCGCGCTGTCTGGCCCTGAGCCCAAGATCTGCTCAGCTCTTCGAGGGAGCACATATCATACATCAAAGGTTAAACAGTATCATATCCCATATCTTTGTTTTTTGAGTGCTGCATACGACAGCAATGTGGGCTTGGCAGCTAGAACTCCTGGCTTCACTTTTTCAGAGCTCACTGGGCGAGGGACCCCAGGTGACACAAAGGCCGCAGCCTCGGGAGCGGTGGCCCGTGGAGGATGCAACGGGAAGTGGGACGAAGAATGCAGGGGCCTTAATTATTAGAATAGGGGTTTTGGAGCACATTATACTATAGTTATGATACGGAACCCGCAAAATAGTATAGGTAATTATTTGAAAAGCCCAGTTCCAAGAAAAAGCCGGAATGGGACAACAGCCTCCGCCTCTCTCAGGCTCCTGTGATGGCCCAAAGCTGAGCATGGAACGCTCGCATTTCTCACGGAGCTCGACCGACCTCTCAGCACGGAAGGGTGGGTTTAAGGTCGCTCACAGGGTCTTCATACATGAATTCGGGCTTCCAGAACGCTTGAGATCAATGGGCCACGATTCCGGTGCTCTACTCCCCGACTTGATATATAAGCCATCTACCAGGCACCCACCGCCTTGTGAGTAATACCTACCTCCATGCAACCCTGACGCACACAAGGTTCGAAAGGGCCCGCAAAACCACGTGTCATTGCTGATGCAGCGAAGAGGCTTTTGGGTACGTTCCAGTATTATTGTATGTGGATATTACCGGAATAAACAAGTATTTCCCTTTGCGAATAAAAATGGTAACATGCCTATGTGAAAAACGATGTGGGAATAGCTTTCTTGTGATTATTCAGACCCCTTCTCTTAGATCCCTGTATTGCTTCGGCCCTAAGGGAACCCCTTCGAGCTGAAACTTGCCCCTCGCTAGATAACCACAAACACTCTGTTGTTTGTTAAGCTTTCTCATTATCTTCTTAGCCTAGTATACACTAAACACTCTGTTCCAAATATGGTGGCGTCTAAATCACGGATTTTTCAAAAGGAACCCGGTTCTAATTGTGCAGGACCCTAGAAGGGTAGTTCTCTGAACTAGAGTCCCTGATTAGGACCCTGAAAGGGGCCCTTATTCAGAGCTTTACCCAAATAGAACTCTTCTAGTACCCTTATAGACACGCTCTAGAATCCAGGGCCCTGCTTTGGAGAACTACCCAACAAAAAGCCACTGAGTCGGCCGACGGATCGGGAGGAGCTTCCGCCTCGCCGGGCGGGGGGCTCCTGGAGATGAAAGAGGCCTTAAACCACGAGTTTGGGGTTTAGGGGAGGCCTTATATCACAGGTTTAGGTCTTATATTATACTATTTGCTATCAGCTATTAGGGTTTAGGGACGTAGGGTTTATGCGGTATTCTTTTCGCACTATAAGGAGTGATTTGAGGCTTCAGGCGTCCTGCAGGGTCCTGCAGAGCGGAACACTTGACTTGTAGCCCCCTTCTCCGCAGTGCAAAATCGAATGCTTCTACGAAGTTTTGCTTGGGAAGTTCGGCACTGCGTCCCTTGTGAAACCGGCTCTGACGCATTCTGGCAGCCGTCCTCTTTGCGCCCTCGTCGCCCGTGTCTGTGCTCTCCTCGCGCGGCACAAGGACAACAAATTGCATATCAATTGCAATCAAACAGCACGCATGTTAGGGCACCGAATTCGACTGCTTGACTCGAAGATGCAGGAAGGCGCGAGGTTGCCCTGTAGGCTCCCCAATGGTAAGGGTACCTTCTCCTCTATTGTTGTGCCTGGATGAAAATTTTACCGACATGGTCAAAAGCAAAGGGCTAAATTTCGACAGAACCTCATTCAAGTCCTGATATTCCCTAGTTGAGGCGTAGCCAGCCAAGTCCTCGCCCTCGCACTCCGAAAGCTCGTCGAAATCGAACCTCAACAAAATCAAGTAGTTTGATCTCATTTAGTTATGATGGCGTTCTACAAAGGTTTTCAGCAGGCTCTAACAGGGCTCTGTAGGGTGTTTTCGGGTGTAGATTGAGGGTTGAAGGGCTACTTAGAGGGTTTCAAGACATGTAGCAAGTAGGTGTTAAGTAGATCTATGGCCAGATTTTCGGGGCTTGGGGACCTGAGCCCAGTTAGCAAACATTCGCTGAGCGTGTTTAAGGGACTCCATGCGCTTATGTGTGTGTCTCTGTGTTTGTGTCTACTCCATGTCTACAGCTCCCTTTGGAGTTGGGACTGGGCTCTGCTACTCAATGCCCCGTCTGAGTCGAACGCATGGCGCTCTGGCGGAAAGCCGATGCATTGTGCTTTCCGAATTCGCAGGATTCGGCGTTGCTGCAATCGAAGTTCACATTTGCTGGTTTCTGCTGTCATCGTATAGGCTCTGCCGGACGCAACCGGAACACATATAATCTTGGATGTCTGGAGCTTTCTGAAAAGCCTGCTTTCGGCAGGGTGACGTAGGTTTCAGGCTCGGGGTTTGGGGAGTGTGGGGCTCCAGCTCAAGGATGAAAGCATAGTCAAACTAAAACGGCGCTGCTTGTTCGGCTGTGCTGAAGGCTTGGAACGGCATCTGCCGGGCACTCTGGTTGGTGCTTGCTAAACGTAAGTTGTCCGACTACTTGGCGGAAGATTCAGAAGCTGCGGTCCAGGAACATGAAACCAGGTGCACCACTGCTGTTTCAAGAAGTCCAGTATCACATGGTTGCGTAGCCGGCACGGAGATTGTGGCAAGTACAGATCTCGTCTCCTACGAGCTACGAGACGGCACCCAACGTCTAGATAAAGACGGGTCTACACCGAACTAGACTATTCCCTAAAAGCAGCATTGCGAATTTTCAGAATCGTGCTTGGGTTTGAATGACCTCATGACCACTTGCCCTTCTGCTCATTCTGAGCTGTCTTTTTCTGCCCGACCAAGCACTCACCGGCCATGCATAGACGCGGCAGGCAAGCCAACAAGACGAAAGCTGGAAGCGAACTGCAGTGACTGTCTTGGCCCGGATACCGCAAACCAAAGCTTTCCAGAAAAAACCTGTTGATCTGCGTCCACTTCCATGCCCTCTTTCTGGAGGCTTAGCACCGGATGCTCACTGGTTGATGAGGACCTGTCGGGCGACGAGCTCTGTATACGTGAAGGGGATGGCGACTCAGCCCACACGGGCGCTCCGTACACCAGCAGCGCTACAGCTGTTCTAGGCCTTTGACTATGATGCAAGCAGGGAGCTGGGTTGGCGGCATTGGAATCTGCTCACCAAACCATTGTTATCGTGGTGGTGTCCCTTCCACTCATAGGCTGCATACAGGAGTCATGCGGGACCGTTCTGGAGCATGATGTCGCAATTAATTGCAACATTCTGACCGAAATCATAGCCTTAAACCCTAAACCCTAAAACTTGTGAAGGAATCCTTCAAGTTGGCCACGCAGCACCAGTTTGCATTGAAGGCCCATGCAGCACAATAAGTTCAGCTATGGTACGCAACATGTGTGCTGGCCTATCGCCAAAAGCCTGAACTCCATTGAGATAGCCGTGAAGTGTGTCAATGTTGTCTGATGCTGAACATCAAGTTTTGGAGGTCTGGGACAGCACAAATGAATGATGGACGGTTGTTCTCTATCTTGTTACAAACAGATCCTGGCAAGAATTGACGTGTGCTCCTTCTCAAGAACAAGCAGACGTCAGTGGGAGCATGATGTCGGAGTGACATGGATGAGCACTGGAAAATGAAAACTGGTCCTGGAGACACTGGCTTGAGCGAACGTATGTTTGCGGTCGAACACGCATGAGAACTCGAAGAGATCAATGCGAGTCCGGAAAGGGCAATCGGCGCCCGGCATGAACGAAGCGAACCGCATGGAAGTGTAGGAACTTGCTTGCGGATCTCTTAAGTGATCTGGTGCAGGTGTGCATGCTCGCTGGGCCCCTGCCCGGCCAGCAGCCTTTGCGAGATGCCGCTCCCCTCCCAATTCTGACCACGTAACCTCATAACCCCTAACCCGAAAATGCATTCCTAGAGCCACGAACTTGTGCTCTCCAAGCCTTGAGCACAACCACACCCAAGAGGTGAACAACCACTGTTGAGGGACAGGCAAGATGCCAACCTTAGCAAGGCGTCACTTGGCTACACAAGATTGGAGTGTAGCTTTCCTTTTGCAGCGGCAAAAACACTGCAGAAGTACACCTTTTCTCATCTCACGCATGTGTAGCACTGGGCAGCGAAAGGATAGTAGCCTCTTGTGCCTGCTGGCGGCATCTGCACGTACTGCACGTTGCCTGGGAATGGAGACATGGTCTGCATTGGCCTTGCTGTGCCAACCCGTAATTGCTACATAGCGTATGGTTTGCAGCTTCTCATGGCTGTCGGCAGCGTGAACATCACCTGCACACTACTGGAGACAGCAGAAGTCGTCTGAATATCGGTTGGCCGTTTTGTGCTAAGCAGCGAGGGCTGCATTAGCGGCTGTTGGCTTGACGGCGACGGCATGTAGCTTGCGTGCATGTGCTGTGCACTGCTTTCGATCGCACTCATTGCTTGAGTCTTGGTTGGGCTGACGGTGCCAAGCAACGATTGTTGCTTGATGACTGGCTTGCGGCCTGCAACGTGCGGCATGTAGCTCGCCTGCCGGTACTGCAGCATCTGGGCTGGGTTGGATGTGTCAAGCAGCGGTTGCTGCATGGGGACTGGATTGTAGCTCGTGCGGGGTGGCATGTGGACGGTAATGTCCGGCTAAGTGGAGACACGGGCTCCGGAAATCCTGTTGGAGTATTGCTCCGCTTTGAGCTCTTGCAAACGGACTGTGTTGTACAGTCAGGCGTTTTCGAGCCCGCAGAATTCAGCTGGGGGATGTGGGCTTGCACCGCCAATGAGCCGCTGGATTCGAAGCCACGAAGCAGCGGCCAGTTTGCCGAGGACTCTATCTTTCGATCTGCCAGTGTCAAGGTTGCCTGGCCGATCAGACAGTCCTCTACCTCTGAGTCTTTCGGGATCCGCTTCGTGGATCTCGACCATCAGGAGCTGTTGCTTCCGATTGTAAGGGAGCGAAATTGTCTTCTGCAGCATGCAATTGTCAAGGTCAGGACGTGCGGGATTCGCCTTCCCGACCGCGAATTCGGTCTTTCTCGCGTTTCTCTCTGCGTTACCCCCACCTGGGTGTCAGACGGCAGTAAATCCAGTGCGCCGTCGATCTTGAGTCAAGAATCTCCTCCAGAAGACTTGATGATGGTCAAGATTCTTGACCCATCAAATCCTCTGGAGGGGATCCTTCCCTCACACGTCGGTCTCCAGTCACCATCGTCTCCTTCTCTGTATTGTCCGGGAGAACGATGCCGAGGGGATTCTCGTGGCTCGGCTTCCGTGGCGTCGGTGAGTACCACTGGACCTTCGGTGCTGGGTACAGCACTGGTGAGTGCAGCAACGGCATGTTGGACGAAAAGCTCCGAGAGTCGTATGTCAGAAAAATGAGTTTCGTCGGTTCGACCTTGACCAGCCGAAATGACTGTCGTTTGCGAGCATTATGCCTGCACTCTACATCCGACACATGGAATGGCTGCCGATGCAAATCCTCCAGATGTTTCGAAGCACTCGAACGGGAAGCTTGATAAAGCATGAAGCCAGCAATGTGCCCAAGAGCCCACTGCCATTCTCAACCCTTTAGTCCAGACCCTCCCGATGCACCCAAGGGAGTGCTTCAACTCTCAGCCTTCGTCATCAGCTAGGCAAACCACGTGTGCAGCAAAGGCCCCGACCAAGGAGGTCGATCTCACGTACCTGGGCGTTTGTCGAGTCCAATTCCAAACATGCACCGTGCATCTGGGAAAAGGTGTCCATGCGCAAGGCGCGGGGACTGTCTACGAACCCGCCCCTTTACAAACGCCTTTCTCCACTGAAAAGTAGCGGCTCTTGCTATTCCTACACCGTGCCTTCGCCAACATGGCCTCCAAGCTGGTCAAATCCTAAAGCCGCAAAGCGCAAAGCTCTAAACCCTTAAACCCTGCACGCCTACATCCCCCAAATCGGCAACCTCCTTTACAGGATCAAGGACTTAGCACGTAGGTCTTTGCTAGATCTTCCCACTAAGGGTACATCTACCTCCACTGATAACCTACTTTGCTATGTCCTTTGATCGTTTCAGTTACCTTTTCTGATTTGGTGAGGGCCCGGCTTTTACGACTTCCGCGTGCTCGTCACCTTTGCAGGGCTTGGTCGTCGCGCGGCACTCAAGGACACTCATCAAGGAGGCGCCTTTGGCGTGACATGATCCTTGCGCCTGCTCCTATGATGCGGATTTCGGGAATATTCGAAAAAACCAACAAAATGCTAATACCTTCACCGTATTCCGCTGGCAGACACGTCGCTGACCGAGAGGCTCGAGGAAGTGATGGCTGACGTGCAATGAACACAACAAACATGTAGGGCACCGAGTTCCCCGTGTAAGCCCATCAATGGCAACGACAAGTCTTCATCCAGGATCAGGCGCTCACCCGACCACCAGTCAAAAGAAAAGGGCTAAAAGTCTGTAGAACGGCTGGAGAATTTAGGGGTAGCCTGGCTTCGTGGCAAAGGCCTTGGGCCGGCTCTCCAACCAAGACAGCAAGCATGATCTGGCGGCCTTAACAAGTAGAAGTTGAAATAGGGGTTCGGGGCATATAACAGTCTAGTTACAGTTTATACGAAGCCGGAATCTGCACGACGAATGACTTGGGCCCGTGAAGCAAAGCCTATAAGGCCCTTGTATGAAAGCTATATAGAACCCTTAAAGGTGCTCATAACCCCGACCCCTATAGTAGCGGACCGCGGGTCCTCGCCCTCGCCCTCCGAAAGCTCGTCAAGGACGAACCTCAGCAGAAAATAGGGCTCCGTTCAGTTGTGATGGGTTCATTGGGGTTCCAACAGAGCTTCAGTCAAGGAGATAGTAGGTCGCGTTCAGTAGGGTGTTTTGGAGCTACGTGGCGGTTCAGTGGACTTAGCAAGTAGGTTACAACTAAGTAGAGTTATGACCGAATGAAGGGTTTGGGCTATAGTTCTTATAAGTGGAGATATGAATCTCCTCAGAGGGGTACAGGAACTCCATGTGTGTGTGTGTGTCTGCTCCATGTCGACTGCTCCCTTGGGAAGCACCGCTTGGCAATACACAAGTGTGCGGCATTATACGGTCAGCTCGGGTAGGAAAAAGCGTGTTTGCTGCCCTAGACAAAGCCTGAACTCCATAAATGCAGAATCTGAGAAATAGCTACGATTCTGTCAATATCGCTTGCATTCGCAGGAGGAGTTTCTGATCCACAACATCAAGTTTTGAAGCTTCTTGGACAGCACAAATGAATGATTGAAGCTTGCTTTCTTCCATCTAGATACAGGTATTCCCGGCAAGAACGTACTACGTATGCTCTCTGTCAAGAGCGGAAGAATGCGGTCAGAGCATGATGTTCAACTGGAACTCATGGGAACTGGAAAAACAAAACCAGTCTAGCAAACTCCTGAACAAATGGTCCTGAATAGCGACACTGCCTTGAGCGAACGTGTCTTTGCGGTCGAAGACAGATGAGAACTCCAGTCCAATCTGGATCAACGTAAGCAAGGGCAGCGCAGTCCCGGCGCCCGGCATGTACGAAGTGAACCACATGGAAGTGTGGGCGCCTGCCTGCGCATCTCTCAAATGGCCTGGTGCGGGCGTGCATGCTGGC